AGAGAGAAAATTTACAGGTGTTTATAAAACACTCACTACTCACAAGAAAGCTCTCTAGTATAGGAAGAAAGAAATGTTTTGGGATGATTTTGAAGCTAAATGGGCTAGGGTATTTATAGTTGAAACTTATGACTAATCTTATAAATACTCTAAAGTGTACAGTGACTAAATGTGTGATTTAACCATTTTTTATTTTAATTTAATATTGGGACACAGAATTCGGTGCCCTTTTATCAATGAGAATGTGAGGTGTCCCAATTTTAAAAATTCTACCGAGAAACAATTCAATTGAGCCCCACCTTTGTTACTTTCATCATTAAGCAACGACAATAATACGATTTATATATTTGATCCAAGAAAATGGAGTAACTCAACACCAATCAGCAAACAGATTCAGCATCTCCTGCTTTCAGTTCCACAACAATTGGAATCAAGAATTATCTGTTTTCACCTGTGAAACTACCCAAAGGTAAGAGCCGGTTATTGTATATCTTTACGTCTCAACTTTGATGGGTTAGTTTCAGTTTAAACCACTGAGGTTCGAAATCATTGTGATTAAGCCCTTTCCTCTTCCAAAATTATAGTAAAATTTTCTACTTCGTTGCTTTCCATTTTTAAAGAAGATAAAGAACGAAATTAACATTTGTTTTCTACAACTACATACACCCTCTGGATATAATCCTAACAAGTTGTGTCCATGTAAAAATTAATTCCGATATGTAATTTTAAAATGCAGAAAATTTTCATTATTTTTTGAAGAGCAGTCCAATCCTTAGGCTGAACATTGACGGACGACGGTGATATTAATAATCCAAACGGAATATTCAATAAATGGTTATTGGGTGTTGCAGATGGTCGAGAGGAACGCCTAACCCCAACTAAACACTTTCAATCAACCAAACAAGTGTTATTAATCAAATAGATTTTTTGTTTACTTTTATTACTTTAAATCAAATCTTTCTACCTAATTTTAATAATAAGCAGCGAAACCGACTCGGTTTCTTTCTTTTGGTAAACTACATAAATGGCAACTAATGTTCGAGTATTTTTTCATTTTGTCTATAAAATTTCAAAAGTGACAAATTGGTCACTAACGTTATCACTTCATTACAAATCGGTCACTCGACGTTCACCGTTGGTGGCGTAGGTGGCGGAAAGCTTACTTGGCAACACCGACTGCCACGCTGGAAATTCAATCCCTGTTAACTAGTCACCTGTCAACTACACCAACTTTGACCGCGATTTTCAGCGTTGATATCCTCTATCCTTCTGTTGCGGCCTATGTTCCTTGGCTCGGAAAAGTAAATCAAGTTCCTGGTCTGGCCGCGTCGTCAGCTTCTAGCTGTCGATGTCGCCTTCAAGGAGGAACGAGTTAGAGTCAGCGAAGAGGATCCATAACTTTGTTCACTTCTCCAGACATAAAACGGCGAGGGCGGAGCAATCTCAACTGTCGAAATTGAAGAGCGTAATGAAGAAATCGAAGGACGTCGGTTCTAGCCATAGTCCAACAATATCTCCCTAATCGACGCCTCCCAATGCCTTGCCCAACAACACCAAGACGACATCTGGTGAAAACAACAATAATGCCATCACCAACATGGGTGTCGCTCCAGTTGCCAACACTCGATCAACTATCGTCACCACGTAGATGAGTTTCTTATCTATTACTAATCAAACAATGAAAAAAAAATTAAACGATTAAATGTAAAAAGATATTATGCAAACTATAAACCTGTTGGTTCTTGATGGATATTCTTAGAAAATATGATAACAACTGGTATGTCTTTAAATGATGAAGATTGTTTGATTTTTCTCAGGAGATAATAGCCCATCATTTCATGCATTCAATAATCCGTGATGATCAAATTCACTCTCAATTGTTGATCATTAGAATAAACTGACGCAACACTCGAATTCCTACTTCTAGAAACTCCAAAGTCCTACTTCTAGAATCTGCCGCAGTAACTATAAAACATAAATATCAAATTCAACCCATGTTGTGTGTCTCAATGGAGCAATTAAAGAATTGTTTTTACAGGAAAATATAACCTTGATAAGAAGAGGTATGGAGAAGCCTTTCAATAATTTTTCTATCGATGAGTCTATCATCAACAACAAGGGCATGGAACTGAGCTTGAGTAGTCATTCTCAAGATTGTTAAACAAAGAGAAGACAAAGGAAAAACCCAGAAAATAAGAAGAAAAAGAAGAATATTGGGAAGTAAATAAGGAAGAAGGAGAAAAGAGAGGGTGGATTTTAAAAGGATGACCTGTATATTTCTCAAACAGTGCTGAAGTTAAAAGTTGCAACAACTACAATGCACGTTAGTGGAGAAGCGAGGAAACAATTCACTTTGGATCGGAAGTTGGCGTCGTTGAGAGGTGATCGGTCAATGGGGATAGTGTTTTCACTTTCCAAGGTGGCGGTCAACGTTGCCAGGTAAACAATTAACTATCTAACTGTGATTTTCGTCATGACCAATGGTTGTTAACATTGAATGATTAATTTGTAATAAATTGATAATGTTAGTGATTAATTTGTTGTTTATAAAACTTTAATGGGAAAAACGAAATATTATTCAAATATTAATGGCTATTTTTGTAATTTAAACTTTTTTGACAAACTCACAATTTTTCTTTTTTATTTTAAATTACATACATTCTAGAGCATCAGTTGCCCTTTTTTTCTCTTTCTCTCAGATATTTCTTTTTGTCATTATTTGATTCACAATTTATAACTCGCTAAAAGCTTATACAATTATATGTATTTATATAGATTTTTCAAATTTTATAAAAAATATTTATTTTTTTATTTTTAAAAAATAATTAAATATTTTATTATATCATCATTCACATTTAGATCATTATATTAGTATAATAACAATCAATGATGATTTTCATAGATTATACGATTATGTTAATTAATTTTCTAAATTTTAAAATTTAATTAAATATAAATTTTTTGAAAGATTGAATTATTCTTTTTCAAAAGTTCAAAGACTACAAAAATCATTAAATTAAAATTTTATTATTCATTAACATAATCTGAGGCCTCACTAACAATAAATAATGTTGTTGTCACTGTAAAAGAAAACTGAAGCAACAGAAATGGAAATCGAACCCTAAAATCAAAGTGTAAAAATAAAAAACTTTAATAACCAATTCATGTGTCAAAACTTCTTTCATATCATATGATATATTAGTCTCGTACCAAAGATTTTTGGTGTGGCGACTGATTGGGAGATCGGCCGTTGCGAAACGTGTTCGGCCTCCATTGCTAATGGACGGTCAGTTACATAGTCGGCCATGTTGCATATGTAGGTCCCACGCAAGGACCGACTATAAAGCAACAGAAATCAACTACTTTTCTTAATAGGGCTGAGTGAGAAGATCGAAAAATTGATCAAAACCGTATTATATGATTCAAATCTATTTTAAATTTGTTATAAGGTAAAGTTTTAAAAATTATATTATTATTTTTATGAATTTAGACCTTGTAGGTTTGCCTTCAATTTAAACTTGAAGTTAACTTTTCTTTAGATGTTAAATTTGAAAAACAGTAAATGTTTAAAAACTATAAAATCAAATGAATTGAACCAAAATTAATATTACGATTTTTGTGACATTTCATTTCTATTTTATTTTTAAAAGAATTGCATAAAATGATTCAGCTCATATTTTATATAAAAAAAATCAAACCGAATATACCATTATCTCTTACTTTCATAAATTTTCTTTCCGATTTTAAAATTCCTAAATTAGTTTTAAATCAAATCCAAAAGCATCATTTTTTACGTGAAGCATTATTTTAGTTTGATATCCAGATGTTAGAAACGTCCTACTTTTTTATTCTTTCTCTAGTATTTCCTTTTCTTTCTTGTGTTGAAAGATAATGCATATACTCTATCCAAGACGAAAGGGAAAGCATATATCTCCAAGAATTTCAAACAAAATAACTATGTATATTATAATTTTTAAAATATTAATTTATTTGTTGATACAACACTAAATTATTTATATAGAAATGAAACATATGCCAATATATAGCATCAACAAAGGTCAACAGCCTTGGTGCGTAACTAAACCCAAGTGGCTTTAAAGGGGTCTCTTATTTCGGCTGTCCAAGGTGCGTAACCAATCCTCAACAACAATTATTATTTCTCTTTTATTTCAAATATTAATCAACGTATACCCAATGATTGTATAGCTTCACCTCTTTTTGGCCTTCGCCATGAGACCTTCTATTTTGCCCAGGTTAAGCTTTGGAGGAAAAAAATGGTTGGTATGGGACAGTGAATTTTTTTTTTAAAGGTAGGATTAAACGAACAGTGTCATCGGACGCTCGAAGCACATGACGTCTTCGAAAAGTCGGTCAAAACACGACTCCTTTAGATTCTTTAGCTCCAGCGACCGCCGTTGCATTAAACTTGAAGACTGCAACAGAGAATGAGGTGTTGCTTTAAAGATAGCAGCAGAGAGGGAGAAGAACTGCAGTAGAAAGAGAGGCTAGCCATGAGGGTTCGGCCGGAGCTTGAAGATGCCGTGTGCTCCGGCAATTTTCCTGAATATACCATCTGTTCCCGATGTCTTTCCAAAAACACTATTCAAAACGCCCTATCTGAGAAAAATAATATGGGTGGTGCTTTAATTGGGGAATTTTTTTCCCCGGTACCTTACCTAAGCATTTTTGCCGTTTTGCCCCATTACCATCTTCACCAAGCTGTTTTCTTTTTCCACCATTGTCTCCTGCTCGAACTCTAAATTGATTACAAAAGCCCTTTGCTTTGCATGTTAAACTAAGATAAAACGAAAACAAAAAATAAGGGTAAAGATTTGGTAAGGGTATTTTATTGCGCTTTTTTCCTCCCGAAAACTACAACACAACAAAGATTTAAAAACAAAGCCAGAAGACATAAGCGGCGGCAACAACCAAACATGTTCCAGTCATCAACTTGAACATGTTATTGAATGAACTTAAATAAAACTACATAAAACACCATTTTCAGTACTTGTTTTCATGCTTCTTTTTTACCGTCATCAGTAGCAAATCCGCCATTATTGCCGATGTTACCTCCGCCACCGTTCATCCTGGTGAGAATAGTACTCATCATTGCCTTTTCATCAAAATTATGAGCATCCTTCACATCGCCGTTTGTGTCAATGAATAGCATGAAATCATCAACCAGTTTTTGGTTGGCGGCTTGCTTAGCAAGCATGCTCTGCTTCTTTCTCTTAAGCATTTCGCATTCCATAGCTTTGTTTCGAAGCGCCGCTTGACGATCCCTCAGGAACTTTTTCATCCGTGTTTTCTCCTTTCTCTTCCTTCCCAAAGCAGACATAGCAATAATGATATCTTGGAGATCCTGTTTGGTTCAAAAAAGAAAAGAAAACTATATACATTAACAGAATGTAATGCATGATTATTGTTCAAAACCAATAAAAACAGGAAAGAAAACCGAAATAGCAGAAATAAAAATCCAACCATAGAGTATGAAAGGAAGACAAGGGGATGCTGAAAGATGTTTAACTGTGATTTCATTTCGAATGTGAACGTATATATATGTGTTTGGTTTAGCTGTGGGACCAATGGCAAACGAAAGAGTCGGTTTGTATACTTGCGATAATCCTGCTGAGGTCGAAAGAGACCTCCAGTATCGCGCGTGAGCAATGGTAACCATTCTAGTCAATTTAATATTTTATTCGGCTTTGTTAACACTACTAGTATGTTAGCAGTAGGTACACATGTCAATGTATGGTGGTTAAAGTTGTTAGGTCGTTAGACAGTCTGTTAAATTTACAACAGATTGTATTGACTGCAGCTTTGCATGCATGGCTTGTATATAAACCAACGATAGTGTATTGAATGGAAGTGTGAATATTCTTCATAAATAAAATGATGTTATATTCTCTTAGTTACTGGTATTTCAAGAGGCTTTAATAGTGTTGGACAACTTAAACTATGGGTTCTAGTGGCAGTACTAATTTAAGGGAACCCTTCGAGTTACACTATCATTGCATTTTGTCGTGATTCATCTCCTTCGTTATTTACTTCAATTTGAGTGTGATAAATTCACACACTAAATATGCTCTCCTATTGCAACAAAGCCCAAATGATTTACCACAATCATTAATCATAAATCTTGACATAGAGATAACTCATAACATGTGTTATTCTTGTGTTCAACTTTCTTCATAAAACAGATTTTATTCTAATTTCAACATATTTTTTTAAAAAATTTCAATCAAATATTATGTTCTTTATTATTTTTGTTTTTGTTTTTAAATTATATCTCTTTACCAAAATCAAACACACCAGAGGCAGGCTATGATTCACGCCAATTTACCTACTTTAATTAATGATTCATTAATTTTTATGGTTTGGTCCATATAAAATACTGCCGCATATCGAAAAATGACCATGTGCACAGCAAGTTTCCGCTAACCAACATACTGCCGCCTAGTCTGGTGTCTACATCCATCGCCCCGCCCTGCACCTCCTCCCCTCTTGTTTCTCGTATGGGGATGGATTCATGCTTACATAACTCTCTCCAAATTCTTTATTGGATAAATGGAGGTCTTATAGGTTTCTTTTTAGGGAAAATGGAGTCAGGTAAGGAGATTCCTTGTCGCCATACATATTCATTTTAGTTATGAATGTCTTGTCTAGGTTATTGAATTTGGCAGGTCAATATTGTGTGTTGGATTTTCGTTCAAAGTGTAAAATAATTGGGCTGACACATATCTGTTTTGCGGATAATCTCTTAGTGTTTACTAAAGAAAATGTTGAGGCTCTGTTGGTAGTAAAGAGGATTATGGAAGTTTTTTATAAGATGTCGGGTTTGCAGTTGAATGCTTCAAAAAGTGAGCTATATTATGTTGGAATTGGGCCTTCTCCGATGCTAAATATGTTCGAGCATACTGGATTTCTTATTAGCACTCTTCTATTGAGATATCTGGGAGTCCATTTAGTTTCTAAGAGCCTTTCATACTTGGATTGTGAGAGCTTGATTGATAAAATTGTAAGGAGGATTCAGACCTGACCATCTAAGTGTTTATCATTTGCAGGAAGATTTCAACTTATTCAAGCTGTTATTTTTAGCATTCAAATTTTTGGAGAAGAGATTTTATGTTACCTTCAAAATTGTTTAAGCAAATTAAAACATAGTGTAATTATTTTCTTTAGAATGGTTCGGATGGTTCATTAGGGATGCTTGAGTTAGTTGGTAAAGAATGTGCTATCCCAAATGTCAAGGTAATCTTAGGATAATGAATATTTTAGTATGGGATAGAGCTTGTATGATGAGATGATTGTGGCTTCTTCTCGCCTAATCTGTTTCACTTTGGGTGGCTTGGATTGAGAAATATATTTTGAAGGAGTGTTCTCTTTGGAAAACACCTCTGGGAATAGCGATAGTTGAGTCTAGAAGAAGACTCTTAAATTGTGGGATGAGTATGCTCTTGTTGATAATTTAGATTGGGTTTCCAAACTTTGAAGGTTTGGCAAGCGCTTAGGCATAAACAAGATAAAATACCTTGGTTTAAAGTTCTTATAGGGGATTTGTCTATACCTCGTTACTCATTTGTATATTGGCTTATGCTCCTTGACCGTTTGTCACCAAAGGCTCATATGTTGTATAGGGGTGGTCAGACTGACTCAACTTATATTTTTTGTGATTCTGAAGTTGAAACAAGGGATCATCTTCTCTTTTTGTTGCTTGTGATTTCTCTAGGCAAATTTGGATGGAAGTTCTGCATGTTTGTTATGATAATAGACTTTTAAATTATTGGTTGGATATGATGAATTGGGTGAAGGATCATGGTAGGGAGAAGTCTTTGAAGGCTACTATCGTTTGGGTAGTCATGTTGTTATTTTTACTATATTTGACATGAGAAAAATAACATATTGCATGGTGTGGCCCCTCAACAAGTTAAGGGTGTTGCTCTTTATATTAAAGGCGATGTTAGGTTGAAGTTGCAAGAATGTACAAAGATTGTTTTTTACTGCCTCTGTTCTTGTTGCAGAATAGGGTTTACTATATATTTTTATTTTTGTTTGCTTATTCTCATGTTCCATCTTCCATGTGGGGATTTGTTCCTAATTGTGTTGCTCTTTATTTCTTTGGTTGTAATTATTTTGTATAAAGGTGGTTACTTTGGATAAATAATACATCATTTATTCAAAAGAAGGAGAAATTTAAAATTGTGAATTAAGGGGTATTTTTTAAAAATTGTGAAAGGGATAATTTTGTTTAAACGAGAATTTTCATGGGAAAAATCAATGGTTTAATTAGTAAGAAATAAGAGATTTCACTATTGAATACCTACGTATTCAAATATTCGAAATATTAAATATTTAAACTGGATGTCAAAATAATCAACTCATATTCCAACTCATAAATTTTGGGTATCAAAATAACTCCGTCTTCAGGGTAATTACAAACAACCACGCAATTAAATAATCTCACACCCGTTGCTTCCTGATTGTTGCATTTGGTTACAAGTTTTGTTTTGTATTTTCTTTTTCTGATAGTTTGTGATAATTATATTATAGTATTTATTTAAAATATTTTTAATTATTAATAATGTACATGTATATTATAGAAATATTCTTTTATAAAAAACAATAATTCTTTTAACTATTAAAAATATTTGATGTGTATCCCACAAAAATAAAATAAATAATATATCTGACTGACAACCAACCGTAGGATTAATGGTGCGGCCTGTTAAAGTCCTAATCCCTCTTTTCATAAATATGTTACAACTGACCATCACATCTCTCCTTATTTTCTAAACTCGTAATTAGGGTCTTGATTAAGGGAAGTCGGTTATAATAATTAATCATATTACAAACCTTTTAATGATCATGTGAATTCCTAATCCATCTCTGCTTAGACTATCTTTTAGCATCTAATCAAGCTATATTCCTTGGTCAATTTACGGCATGAAGTGGTTGGGTATTTTGGGTACAAAAGGTATTTACTATTTAGAGTAATTTGGTAGGATATATATTTTGATTAACTACTAGTATTTTTAAAAAATATAATTACATATATTTGTATTTAAACTCTAGGTTAGAGCAATATTAAGAGGTGATTTACATTTTAATTAAATTCAAAATAAGTGTTTTTAATTTAGATAATATTTCAAAATGCCGAAACTTACCCACCAATTTTTTCAATGTAAGAAACTCTATATTTAAAAACTAACTGTTTTCTAACCCAAAATTGATTGGTAAAATCACTATGAACCTAAAAAATTGTTTTTGAAAAGAGAGAGATAGAGAGGACACTATTGTTTTTGTTTAACCTTTTTTAACCCCAAAAACTCATTTCACGATGTTATTCGTACCATTTCCCCTTCCTCTGTCTGACAGGTACAAAGAAAAAAGCATGTTTCTGTTCGTTTTAATCGTGTTTTTATTGATATCTGAGTTATTTGTCTTGTTGCTCTTTACAATGTGCAAGTATGTAAGGATTTTGATTGTATTGTGCTTCTTCATGTTCTTCACATCGAACAATTCAAGTTTAATCTTGTTCATAGTATACCATCTTTCCTTTTGACATATTCTAAAATTTTTGTAGTTTCTTAATTGTGTGAATAATTTTCTTCTCTTCGCGTTGCTTTTCTTGATTAATGCATGAAGCTGCAATATAATTTTTGGTTTTAAGTGCGAAGGCATTCATGTATTTTTGTATTTAAATTGCAATATAATTATTGGTTTTAATTGCCTTTCAATTTTTAATAAATGATTAAGCATATCTGTGTTAAATTCATGTTCGTATGTAACACATTTACGTATGATTATTCTTATTATTTTGGTTTGTAAATTTGGGGTAGATTAGAAGTGAAAGATGGGGGAGAGGATGGTGGTAGGTAGATACTGGTGTTACATATGTTCTCAAATGGTGAATCCAACAATGGAGGCTGCAATCAAATGTCCATTTTGTGAATCTGGATTCCTTGAAGAAATCACCAGCATCAGACATCACTCCCACAACAATGGCGGAAATGATTCGGGATCAATGAGCACTGTTTCCCTTTGGGGTCCAATCTTGCTTGGTTTGATTGGTGGTTTAGGCTCTTCCCAGTTACGCCTGACGGGCAGGGCCCAAACCAACGATGCCAATGATTCCACGGATGACGAACACGGAAGATAGTTCGAATCCTTGGTTAGGAGGGGAAGAAGAAGAGGCTTAGGTTCAGGTATTCGGATGCTTCAAGACACGAGTACTGAATCGCAGAATCCCGGAAACGGTAGTTCCGACCGTACTAGGGGTGGTCGAATGATCTTGTTCGATCTGTTCAACGATGAGGCCTTGATCGTTCAGGGTTCGTTTGGTTTCAACAATGGACAAAGCTCCAATCCAAGGTCAGTTGTTTCCTTTAGCGATTACTTACTGGGACATGGTTGGGATCTTCTGTTGCAGAATTTGTCCGAAAATGACCCAAGTCACCATGGAAGCCCACCGGCAAAGAAAGAAGCAGTTGAAGCAATGCCGAATGTTACCATTGA